ATCATATCTTTCAAAGCAATGCCTTGTATAGAAGGTTCAGCTTGGTTTCTCCAAGAGTTGTGTTGTTAGTTGCTGAAGGAAATGAAGGTTTTAGGCAAAAATGTTAGCCATTGGGTTTGTTTTCTTTGTTTCGTGATACAGTGAGCTCTAAAGATATGTATGAATGGTGATCCATGCTGTGGTATTCTTCTGACTGGCAAGACTCATGTAAAAACTAAGTATCCAATTCCCGTTTTAGTCATGCTTATTTATTATTACATTGGAACAACTTTTGCACCATATATGTCCTGTCCAAATTATACCATATTTCATGTTCTCTTTTTGTCTTTGTATTACCGCTATGCTGGTATTGTTGTTCCTAATGTTTTTCAATCTCTGGGAGGTTGGAAGAATGGCATAACCTTCTTCAATTTTGTTGCTGTTGGGTGAGTACGTTGTAATACTTTCTTGCCCAATGGGTTATCTAACTATCTATAGTCCAACGTTTGGTTTCCCCAGTAGTTCAGCAATGGTTGGTCTGGTGTTCTGTGAATGTGAACAAGAATAATGGGCAGAGAGTGAAAATATTGGGGCCACCGCTCATGCAAGAGAGCGAAAGTAATATTTTAATTTAAACCTACTTTAGTAGAGAATGCATTGCAGATTAAAATTATATACTCACCTGATATAAATACTGCAGCTTTTTCTTTGTATATAAAAACTGAAATCATATATATGTTAATAGCCTAGAAAGAAATGTGCCTCAATAGTTAATTGTATATTTCAGGTGTGAAAGAATTTGCTTCAGGGTGCAATTTTAAAGAACAAGACAATTTAACACATGGCTAAAACAGTTAAAATCAACATCTTCTCAAAGTTAGGACGTAACTTTAATGTTGAATGTTTAGATTTTGCAATTTTCTGTGAGTATTATGCATGCTCGTCATCCTAATTGATATCTGATTAGGTGCATAGGCAGCATGGCCCTGTTTATTTGGCTCTTGGCTAGGTGTAGAGAAGCAACTTATAATGTCGAAGAGCAGCGATTTATGATATGCTGATTTCAAAAAGCTTCACGGTTGAAATTTGGTTAGATTTTGCAATTGGCTATGAGGATTATGCCTGCTCGAGTGCTCATCATCCCCATTGATATCTGACTGGGAGTGCATAGCTCAGTTTACTTGGCTATTGGCTGGATGGTGTAGAGCAGCAACTTATGATGCTAAAGTGCAGCAATGTGCGATATGCTGATATAAAAAAGCTTCACTGCCGCCTGCTTTGCGCATCAAGCATGGCTCTTGTTTTTACAAGAAAATGTATAAAGCAAAATGGACGTTGATGAGTAAATTTCTTAATGTATACGCTTTTTCAGTCTCTCTTCACTTTATTGTATTGGTAATGCATTCCTTGAGACAGATATTTGGTGCCTAACAGAAAAAGTAGACATGAATAGTGCATGTATATTAGCATCAGAAACAATTGAATGTCATTTTAAATGTCCAGATTCTACCTCTATTTCTTTTGGTGTAAGTTCTATGTGGTTTGACTTTAGAATTTGTTCACTTGATTTTTTCTTCCATAGTTTGTGTTAGGGGTGGACCAGACCTGGTCCGGTTTTGGTTCGTGCCTTGGCTTGGCTGGGCTCAGATGGTTTTGGGTAAGGCCTGGGACCGGCCCAGGAGACTAGGAGTCTAATAGTTCCGAGCTGGTTCCGGTTAAGTTTTTTTTTTGTGTTTTTTTTTTTATTTCAACCCCCATCTCCCAAACCCCTCAGAAACACCTGCCCACCTAAACCCAGCCCAAACCCAAAAAACCAATATATATATATAGGGAACTCTTCCGGTAAGGTATTCCTTACCAGGGCCTCCGTGCGGCCTCCACGTTTTGAGGGCCTTCTTGGTGGAATTTTTCGATGAAATATTTTGAACATGTTCTTCATCAAGTCTAGTACATCTATACCAAATTTCAGCAAAAAATTCAATCAGGAAGGCAGTCAAATGATTTTTGGAAGATAATTGCACCCTTTATGTACATATAAAACGCAGTTATCTTCAAAAAATCGTTTGGCTGCCTTCCCGATTGAATCTTTTGTTGAAATTTGGTATGGATGTACTAGACTTGATGACAAACATGCTCAAAAAATTTCATCGAAAATTTCCATCGGGAAGGACCTCAAAACGTGGAGGCCGCGCGGCGGCTCCGGTAAGGTATACCTTACCGGAAAGATTTCCTATATATATATATATATATATATATATATATATATATATATAGAGTGCTCTTCATGTCAGGCCGGCCTGACGGGCTGCCCCGTCCGGCCGAGCCCGTTTGGGCACCTTCCCGGTGGAATTTTTTGATGAAATTTTTTGAGCATGTTCCTCGTCAAGTCTAGTTTGTCCATACCAAATTTCAGCTCAAAATTCGATCGGGAAGGTCGTCAAATGATTTTTGCAAGTTAACTGGTCCGGAAAATACATATTCCAGACCAGTTAACTTGCAAAAATCATTTGACGACCTTCCCGATCGAATTTTGAGCTGAAATTTGGTATGGATAAACTAGACTTGATGAGGAACATGCTCAAAAAATTTCATCAAAAAATTCCACCGGGAAGGTGCCCAAACGGGCTCGGCCGGACGGGGCAGCCCGTCAGGCCGGCCTGACATGAACATTCCTCTATATATATATATATATATATATATATATATATATATATATATATATATATATATATATATATGAGGACTTTTCATGTCCAGCCGGCCTGACGGGAACCGCCGTCCGGCCGAGGGCATTTCGGGCACTTCCCGGTGGAATTTTTTGATGAAATTTTTTGAGCATGTTCTTCATGAAGTCTAGTTTATCCATACCAAATTTCAGCTAAAAATTCAATCGGGAAGGCACTCAAATAATTTCTTGAAGTTAACTGGGCAGTTCATACATATAAACTGCCCAGTTAACTTCACAAAATTATTTGAATGCCTTCCCGATCGAATTTTGAGCTGAAATTTGGTATGGATAAACTAGACTTCATGAAGAACATGCTCAAAAAATTTCAACAAAAAATTCCACCGGGAAGTACCCGAAATGCCCTCGGCCGGACGGAGCATCCCGTCAGGCCGGCTGGACAAGAACGGCACTCATATATATATATATATATATATATATATATATATATATATATATATATATATATATATAGAACCGGTTTCCCAGGCCGGGTTGGGCCGGTCCTGCACAGTAGCGGCTCGGGCTGGTTCTCGGGCCAATCGGATCGAATCGGGTCCATGCCTAGTTTGTGTGCTCGAATTTTAGGAATCAAAGAGGGATGTAGACATGTAGTGCTTAATGACTAGAGTTTTGATTATTTGGATCTAAGTTTCATTTAGGGTTTTGATGATTTACTTTGTAAATTGTTGAGTTATCTAATCTCTACTTTTTCAACCGGGACGTAGCAGGTATTGTTGTAATAGGTTTAATGACTATTTTCTTTTATGGTCATATTCTGGATTGGGTTCATCCCTGCAATAATCAGATCAATTAAGTTCGACGTATAAAAGCAGTATAAATGTAGAACTCAGGGTGATTTGAAAGCAAATCAAGAATTCAAGATGAGTTCTCAAGACTATTACTGCGGATAGCGGTGGACCGGGTTTGGTCCGGTTCCGAGATGGGCTTAGATTTTCTGGGGCGAAGCCCGGCATCAGACTGGGATCTAACGGTACCGGGACAGTTTCAGACCAGGCCAGGTTGATTCTTTTTTTTTTTTTTTCCTATTTATTCCAACCCCTCACCCCCCAAACAGTCCAAACCTCGCCAAAACACCCAACCCACCTACTATAGACCCAATCCCAAAAATACCCAAAAAAAGACCCGGGCCGGAATCGGACCGGCCAGACTGGTCCCTATATTTCATGTCCCGGAACCGCCCCCCATAAACCCCCTGGGTCGGGCCTGGGCTCGTTACCGGTACCGATACACCAAGCCGGGTCACAGGCCGGTCAGACCGGTCTCGGGCCAAGCCTAACTGCAAACTAATAATTTTAATGTGTTTTAATGCCTGTACTTGAAAACTACTACGTATAAAACCTGAAAATTGGGTAACATCTAACGAGGAAATGACTTTTTGTTTCACTTGTTTTTCTTGTTTCCCTGGTTAAAAATCTTTGATTCTTTTGAAGTACTTATGCCTCCTATTGTCAAATTCAACCTGATGGAGCAAAAATTCTAATAACATTATGTTAGGAAATGACTATCATATATGTAAAAATAAGAGAATAAGTGATACAAATCAGCATTTCCAAAAAAAAAAAAAGTGATACAAATCAGCAAATAAAGCATATATGACGGTCAAACATATTACATACGCCTTGATTAACTCATATTTTTTTTGGTAGTTATCGAATTACAGTCGAAAAGTATGTCTATGCTATTTTGTATGTACTCATACTAATGAGGTATATATTTTATTCTCATACATTATCTATTCTATTCATCGTAAAACAAATAATTTTAAGACAACGTTATCTACCTTTGTCCGAAATTATTTAACAAATTCAATTATTTTTTGTCAAAAATTGTTAATTAAATCATCTTTATCGATAATAAATTTAATTTTAATTATTAAAAATTTACATATTTAGAAGTTACATTAAAACTTTTATAAAAATAAAAAAATTGAATTTAAATTATTTACATATTGATATCCTAATTAATGTTTGATCTAAAAAAAATCAATTTTGCAACTCAATTTGGAATGGATATAGCATGTTTTTCCATTTTTGTCCATCTTAATCTACTTTCTTTCTTTTACATAACAAAAATTTATTTTTCCTTTGCACATATTTATACTACATAAATTTCATTTTTTAGTTACATGTGAAGCTACAATAAAAACTAATTATGGGATGTAGTTAATATTACGGAGTATTACTCATTGATATATTGTAATTTAAAGATTTTTCATCTGCTACTAATATCTTTTTGTATAATGTAGCCTAATAGTGTATAAATTACTGTATATCAAGAAGTGGCCCAACAGCCCAGATCCAAGGACTCCAAGGAAGAGAAACAACTCCAGAACTGAAGAGCAAGGGGAGTGAGCATCTGAGCGACAGAGCCGCCCGAGTGACCTAGCGGCGACGACGACGCCTCGTTCGCCGCCATCCCTCCACCGCTCGCCGGCTCTTCGCCTCTGCCAGTCTTCCCCCACGGCCTTACTGCCTCGTTATTCGGTAACTCATTCCGTATTCTGTAACAAACTCTCTGTATTTTCTCTTTTTAATTGCGATTTAGGTTGTTGCTATTTATTTATTGAAGTTATTAACTTATTCAATTGAATATAATTGTATTTAGCAATTAAGAAATTAGGGAGGATTCAATGATTACAGTTCTATAAGCTATTTTGGTTATTAATTATAATCTGGCATGGTTTCACCCAAAGTCTAAGCTGAATTTTAATTTTAAATTTGTAAATGCATGATGAGGGGAGAATTTCAATAATTGGTAGTAATTATGATTAAAAATAAAAGAAATATCTATCTTGGTAAGACAAGCTTTAAAAGAAAAGAAGATCGAAAAGTTAACCTTGTCTCAAAAAGTAGCTCTTGACAAATTCACCATTAAATAACTTTGGTATATGATCTAAAAAAGAAGTTCATTGTAAATTTGTCACAAGAGAGACTCAATGGATTGGCGTTAATATCACTAGAGTTTGAAATTCACCAAGAGATTGACATTGAAAGTTTGGTAGATGACTCTGCAACTAAGTACACTCAAAGAATGTCTATTTTTAAATAAAATGTATTTTGTTAATGACTAATTTTATTTTTATAATTATGTTCATTAGTAACTTATATTTTAACACAAATTATTTGTCTTGGAATTTGAAAAGGAAGACCCAATTTTTTTCTTGCAAAGAGTTCCCATTTTTTCTGGATCGAGCCTGTTTTAGAGTGTTCAAAACTTTTCCGTATCATAGAAGGGAGGTGCTTGCTGAAACAATATGGCAATGTTGAAGGAGATCTTGACGCGGCGTCCCCTGGCAGCGACAATCCGACTAAGGGTCGACGCTGGCGCTGCAAAACCTGGACCGCCAGTAGGCCCGGCTTTAGGACAATACAAGCTGAACTCCATGGCTTTCTGCAAGGATTTCAATGCCCGTACGCAGAAATACAAGCCTGGAACGCCTATGTCTGTTACAATAACGGCTTTCAAGGATGGGACCTTTGAATTCTCGTTGAAATCTCCGTCAGTCACTTGGTACCTGAAGCAGGCGGCGGGGGTGGAGAGTGGCAGCAGCCGCCCTGGTCACGTTACCGCCTCTACGATAACCCTAAAGCATGTATATGAAATTGCAAAGGTCAAACAAAGTGATCCCTTTTGCCAGTATATGTCTCTGGAGTCCATTTCTAAGTCTATTATCGGCACTGCCAACTCAATGGGGATCAAGGTCCAGAAAGAGCTCGATTAAGGTCCGTTCTGTGTACTTACTTTGCTGATATCGCACATCTAAAAGGAGTAATATCAAAGTCTATTTCAACCAAATTAATTGAAAAGCCACCTATGCTGTTTAGAGGAGATTAGGTCTACCACCAAATGGAGCCTTAGTTTTTCTTGTCTTGATTAGGCAGTGTTCATTTCTTAAATGAAAACAAAAGAGTGAGTTTAGTCAGTGATTATTTCTGGTTGTTTTGTTTTCCAGGTGCACTGGTTTGTGCGCAATAATGGAGTATTGACTTATGTTTTTGCAGTTATTAATCTGTATGGATTTCTTACACCTATGCAGCTATTTTACACACAGTTTTCAACTTGCATGCTGTATTTCTGTATTTTCCCTGGGAATTATCTCTTTTATTATGTAGTATACATGTGTGTCTTTAGTTCATCCATTGTGTTATCTAATTGATTCTTGATAGATCAAGCATTATATCCTTGCTCCATGGTGCTTTGCATTTTGGTCCATTATATCGGACTATTGAAGTATTGAACTGTTTGTTAAGCAATATGAGATCCCAGATAGATGAGGGTCATGGAACTAACCTATTGGATAGCATAGACCATACATTTTTGGTATGCAAGTTATACATTATAACCAAACTGTTAGGCTGTTAAACGAGTACATTGTGTATAAATATTGGGTTTGTTGTATAACTTTCAATGGATTTGATGGATTAGGTTAGTATATGCCTCTCTACTGAATGTTATGAACAAGGGTTGTGTAGGTTGGGATTACCCTCCGATGTTAATAAATTAATCTTTTAGAGTTTCAATACTAATCTGAAACTAATTTCCCGTAGTTTGCTTGTTACCAGCTCCCTAAATTATTCAACTAATTTCTTAAGAAATAGAAAAACAGAAATTGTACTTGTCACAATTATGGAAAAAAGAACATGTTTAATTTACTAGCTCTCAAAATTAAGAAAACATAAGAGTTGGAGATCAATTTTATTTTTTCAAAGGTCACCATTTACTCATGCATTGACAAGAGTAATATGAAGTACCTATGCTTAAAATGAATCGCCATGGAGGCGAATTTATGGGCTTTCTCCTTGGCTGGTTCAGTAAATCGCGTAATTAGTGTCAGCAACACTATATGAGTTTAAACTTGCTGGATATATTGAGTTATTGATAAGTAAGGTATGATATTTTCATGATTTGTGCTCATAATCGGGACTCACTTAATCACTAAGGGGTGACTCCTTGTGCGCAGAGGTACACCAACGTAGGAATCTGGAGAACGAGTTTCTTTCAGAGTATTGGGGTAAAATGATTTATCAAAAAGTACCTGTAGGTAACTTTTAGTTTTTCACTAGGGTTTTTCCCGATTCAGGTTTCAGAATAGGATTGAATATGGGCAGGCAGGGCAGGTAAAGAAGCAGATCGACAAAACTGGAGCATAACTGATTGGTATAGTTTCAGTGTTTTTTAATTTTCAGTGTTTTTAAATTTTGAAAATTGGAGCCGGTACTGGCCCATTATGTTCCGGTACCGGGCCCAAACAGTACCGGCCCAGTATGTTCCTATACCGGTTCCGGTCTAGGCCCAAACAGTACTGGGCCCGGCTCAGTATTCACGTATTTCATTAAAAAAAATTAAAATAGTCGTTGGGCCTGCATTGGGACCAAAAAATCAATCCTGAAGCTCGACCTGTTCTACCCACGGTTCGGGTCTTGGGTTGGTACTTGGCCTAGAAAACCGGCCGGGCTGGGCCTAAATAGTTCAGGGTCGGGCTGGTGCAGGGTTGCGTTGCCCGGGAGCGGGTCCCGGGTTGGCCGCTCGGGTCCGGTCCATCCTTAGTTTGGACTTTGGAATCAAAACTACAACCGGTACCAGTCCAACCCTATAGTCTTAAATACAACTCGGATACTGTTGTCATCCGTACACCCATTAGAATGAACTACCCCCATAGACCATCTCCTCCACTCCCGACCTTCTACAAGCCATGATAACCATTTGTCATTTTAAGTTCCGTAGCCTTACTCACTTGCTCGTGTAATCCTATAATCATTAAATGTATATATAAATTAAGGACTTTTTAAAAAGAATGTCCTATTTTTGATGGAAAATTTGACGCCGCTGATTTTAGCCTATTTTCTTAGTATCTTAATGAAAAATTTTAATGTGGATAAAATTATTAGATATGTACTTGTGTAACTGAATTTGCAAACTGCGATGTGTATTGGATTTCAGTTATTAGCGAACTGTGAATCCGTGATCCCGTTTTCGTCCCGCATTCCTCAGCATACCAGGTCCATGTGACTATGAGCAGAACAGACCAGTATAGGATCGGTGTTTTTTAATCTTCTGGCCCAACTAGTTTGGAATCATAACTACAATCGGCCCGAAACCACCTTAACTGCTTAACACCACCATCCAGCCCTATCACATGGATAGTGTTGTCATCAACTATCCTAGCTATCCACAACAGAGTATCCTACACCCATTGGTACTACCGGACATGCGTCCTTATATGAATCTGTTTGTTTCCTATCGTGGATTCCTAGCTTAATTTGCTTCTATCAAAAAGATACCCCGTATTACTTATCTGTATTTATTTTTCTTTTTTGTCGAATTGAATATTTTACTTTTAAATTCAACTATATTATATATGGAGTACGTAGTACTACGTATTAGTTCATTTACACAATCACACACAATTACACAAATATATATGTTTTACACATTTTCACACACACATACATACACACAATTCAACAAACAATATTGCATTTTACCCACATGTTAGTCATATGTATCTACCACATTTATAACATAATTTAGAATATTAGAGTTGAATGTATCACTATATTCACCGAATTTCATCTATATCAATAGTCAACAGACATATTGTTGGGGTATATTACCCCCGGCCTACTACTGTTCAGATGCCCAAGACACCACCCCGGTACGGGGCCCATTTGGCGAGGCCCATTTAGGCTTACCCGGCTTATTTTGGCTTGTTGGGCCGAAAGAATAGAAGTTAGGCCCATTTAAGGCCCAACCGGCCTTTCCGGCCTAGAAGAAGAGGGAACCCTCCCCCTTGGCTATAAATAGGAAGCTTGGCTTCCAAATTGAGGATCCTGTTTTTGACTCTCCTCCTCCATGCTTCTTCTTCCCCTTTGATAGATAGCTTTATACCTCCATTAATGGAGTTCAAGAGTTGTAATATGTAATTGGTGAGGAGAGCATATTAATGAGAAAGAGCGGGCTTGGACGTTAGCCTAAAAAGTCCCGTAGTTTTCTCCCTTTCCGGGTTTCCACGTAAAAATAGCTAGTTCATACACCTTATATATATTTTATTTATGTTTATACCGAATCCATCATCCTTAATATCCGAAGTTTATGTTGGGCTTCCGGATCTACGGGACTAAACCTCAACACATATAATATTACACTTATGTACTTTTCACATATTTACAATATTTATAACATTATGTATGCCATATATATATGTGTGTGTGTGTGTGTGTGTGTGTGTTCTAAAAGGCGCTAGTCGGGCGCCTAGGCGGGGACTAGTCGGATACATAAAAATTGCATTTTTATCTATATTTTTGCATAAATATGATAAGTATATTGTGTTTATGTGTGTATAAAATACATATGTACGCATATATTAACAAACATGAAGGATAGAATTATCACATTAAATCATACGTAGTTTATGATAACTTATCACTTAAGTTGATTATGTTATAAATATAGATAATAATAATAAGATTTAGGTATATATACAAACATATGCAGTTTTTGTCTTGAATTACAACTTCACTTCTTTATATCTGTGGCTAAAGTTAAAGTACTTATATCACTTAGAAAATTAAAATTAAAAATGTAAGTAATGTTTGGGGAATTTAGACGGCCTAGGTGGCCGATTAGGCGCTCTGGGCGGGCAACTAGGCGTCACAGGCGGCTGGCTAATTCCCCTAGACGGCAAACCAATTAGTCGGAGTGCCTAGACGAATTTCGGGGCGCCCAACCACCGTCTAGTGCCTAGGCGGGGGCTAGACGGACGCCTAGAACGATTTTTAGAACAGAGATATTTATAACTTTACATCAATAAACATACTCCGTATTATATTTTAGATATTTTCTCCAGGGTTTTGGTTCAAATAAGAACACGGTCTTATGAGAAAAATAAGAACGAATTCTAGCCATTAGATTGGATCATTTTCCTTAACAATTACGTATGATCTTCTTGCCCATATTGGTCATTACACATTTGCTTTAATAGCTTTCCATCTATATATGCCCATCATTCATTTCCAACATTTAAATGAATCAAAGATTTGCTTTCCTTTTCAATCACAATCCAAATATAAAATGAGCTAGAATGTATTTCATACTCCTACGTACAACATAGTTTTCATAATAGTGGAGTTCGTGTTTTTATTTTTATTTTATATGTTTTAGTTTATTTTATTTTTTTAATATTTCCTTTATTTATTTTAAAATATTGCCTTAATTGTTTTAGAGACAAAACTAAATTTTGATTTCAAAAGCATGAAAATTATTTGATTATGATTGTGTCTTTTGGTATCAATTGTATATGTATAACATTTAAATAAAAATAATGGAAAGTGCATGAAAAATATATGATACGTGCATCAAAGTAATATAATTATGTTGTGCATTTATGTATGAGTCGTTGTGTACTTTTTAGTAAATATGAAATGATCTCTTATACTAAGGTGTGCACTTCTTAGCTAATTTAGATGTACTAATGAGAAAATAATCTTAAGAGAGATATTAGATTAAATTTGGACGGTTGGATTGTATTATACGGAGTATCAAGTTAATTGTGCTTTAGGTGACATTCAAATGTGCATTAAGTAGGTGAAACTTAAATGTGCAACACAAAGGGTGTGACACAGTGACATCATGTGAACCTGAATTGTGCTTTAGATGAAACTCAAATGTGCATTAGAGAAAACTGAAATGTGCACAATTAATAGGTACAACGCAATGGCATTTTTGTACTTTTAATTCTGCACATTTTAATTTCACTTAATTCACATTTGAGTTTTACTTTTTATTCTGCACATTTCAGTTGCACCTAATTCACATTTCAGTTTAACCAAAAGCATATAAATTCTTAATTTCGAGAAAGGATGTTATGTAAATAAGGAACATTCAGTTTTATTTTGCTATATAGTGGAATTATTAATAATGCAAAATTAATACTCCGTATATCAATGCTGCGTTATTCTATTGATTTTAAAAATGCACTTTTAGTTTATAATTACTGCACATTGTAATGTTTCGTTCATGGCTGCCAATTTTAATAGACAAATTTTAATTGGCAAGTAATTTAATGATCTAGATTTGAATTGAATTGGTGCAATGTTTTGTAACGGATAATATCTCTCGAGTATAATAGTCAGGTGTGAGAGCAATTTGTTTAGTAATTACTATTATACGTATATACTTTTTAAGTA